CTTGCTCAGCTTGCTTTCTCATGTAGCCCAAGGGTGGCACCACTCATAATGAGCTGGCTTTTCCCACATCAATCATTAGTCATGATGATGCCCTAGAAATGTGCTCACAGAACAATCTGATGGAGACAATTTCTTAAGTCCCATCTTCCCAGATATGTCTCAGTTTGTGTGAAGTTGACTGACATTAACCAACACACTGATCTGTTATGCTGTCGCCCCACTGAGCTCCCTCACATGGCTAAATCTGAACAAAGGATATTTGATTTGGTAAGTAGCTATGTGGGTGGCAAGTTGACCCCACCACCTCCCTGCTGCCCACACTAGTGGTCTGGCTATCACATGCCCTGTCTAGTCAGTAGCCACCTGCTGCAAAAGTAGAGGTTCAAAACCTCATAGCTGCACCTAGAGAGATGGAGATATGCATAGATATGGGAGCAGAAAATTCAGCAGACTCTTTGAGGCCAGGCCTATAAGGAAGTCTATAATGTCATAATGATTAAAAGTAGTCAAGAAATTAATACTAAAAGTTATCATTTCAAGGAATCATACAGAAATAAATGGTGGTACATGCTTGTAATCCCAGAACTTGGTGGACTGAAGCAGGAGGATTGTGACTTCTGGAACAGCCTGGACCACACAGCAGTATACAGACCAACCCGGGCTACTGTAAAGCCAACTGCCTCAAAGAAAAAGTGACAAACCAATTAACCAACCTTTCTAAAAATTTATAAATAAATGATAAAAATTTTAAAAATAAGACAATTATCTAGTATTCAATATGCTAAATTTATCACAAAGGAAGATACTTGGATCAAGCAAAAATTAGCAAGAAAAATATTACATTCATCCCCTTTGTGCCAAGTAAAGTTCCAACTAAGATTAGGTGAGTAAGGATGTGAAGAACAATTTGGCCTGGATTATCTGATCAACACTGACATAACTTCATACAAGATCAGGTAAATGTGAGTGAAGACTCAGCAGAGTGAGATAGAACACATACCTGGGTGCTTGGGATCTTAAACAACCTATTTTTGAGTCCATATTTTGTCATTTATTAACTGTTTGATCCTAATAAGTTGTATGTCTACTCTAAACATCTCTTTCTTTGCCTGTGAAATTGTCAGTGGTTGCCATAGCGTTTTGGTGTAAGAAGTAGATGAGGTCATACAAATGACAAGATGAAACAGTTGATCAATTATTACTCAAGTCAAGCCCCCTGTGAATTGTCTGTAAGAATAAAGGGTATCTGAAGACCCCAGGAGGTAAATATTGAATCCACAAGAGAGCCAGAGACCTCAAAAAGGAGACTGATCTGAAGGTGCAAAGACTGGGTTCATCATCGGATGTATGGGTGGTTTATTGTAAAAAGGAATGTCTAATTACAGGGAGAAGAAAAAACTGTGCTGAGAAAGAGAACAGAGATGACTGTGTTAGAAAGAGTATCATTATTCATTTATAGGAACATATAACTTTCTTAATTTAAACTATGATTAATGTTCTGTAAGTTATCAACCTTTTATACTGTTGCAAATATTCTGAAATTAACTGGAAAGATCAATAAAAGTGATTTTAATTTATGTAAGTATCATGTGAACTTTCTTTCAAAGTAAATCATGCAAAAATAATGTTACTTAAGGATTGACTGTACATGGAAATATTTAGAAGACTATAATATATTGATACTATTTAAATTTATTTCTTAAGCTATGTCATTTAATAGTACTCCAGAAGGTATAATTCATTCTCAGTAGGATTTATTCAGAAATTCTGTAATACATGGTGAGCACCACTGATGCTTACCAATTCCTCAAGCTATAAATCTAATCACCCTTCTTTCTCAATAATTTCACCTAAAACAAACACACACACACACACACACACACACACACACACACACACACACACACACATATACACACACCCCAACACGTGCGCACACACACACAGTCACCAAGATCCTTTGTTTATGAAGCTTAAATGTCACTCAGAATGGTCCACTCTGTATTCCCACTACCATTTCCCTAATCTAAGGGAGTCACCAGCTACCAGGCACCAATACCTTTCTGTGCCACTGTCATGGTTTATAAGCCACTTTCACTCATGTTCTTCTCCAGTCCTTCTTGTGAAACACAAATGCCATCATGCTTGTCCAATACATACAAGCTAACAGCTGTTTCCTGTTGACCTTAGGTGAAATCGAATCTCTCTGGCACAAGGTACACAGCGCGTGTCTGGCTGAGATCTGCTTGCAATGCCTCATCTGTCACTGCTCTCTAATCTGCACTTGCCACCAGTGTTCTGCATTCTTTGTAGCTCATGGCTTACCCTCTTGTCTCCCTCACTTCTGCCTGGACATGCCTAAACAGCTGTGCTTTGCGTACGAATTCCTGTAAGTGAAAGCTTTAAACTTTCCCTTTCTCCAGGAAACCAGACCTCCAACTCAGCACACATCTAAAAGGCCATCTTTCCTCTTCTAATTCACTCATCATGACAACTACCACATACACACAATTACCCACTTACTCTCTTCCTCATCCAGCTGCATGGTCATTGAAGACCCTGGCAGTTTTGTGTGCAGTCAAAACTTCACCGGTAAACAGATGGATCTGCAGTGCTGAAGGAACATAATAATTATTTATTGGATAAATTGAATTTTGAAATAATTCAGTAAAATCAAGTAGGAATCATTTGAATTGTTGCTATATCAATCATTTCAGTTATTCATCTGGAGCGCCCATTTACATCTTGCAATATGAGGCATATTAAAAAGTATAAAGGTCATTTATACATATGAACTTCAAGTCAGATGACTCATGTTTATTTTAATTAAAATAGATATTCCTCCTTTTAAGACTCTGATTTCACATGTGCATTGGCTTCATAGCCATGTATACGATTTTAGAAAATATAAAAAGCTGTTTTTCACAAATATGTCTCTTTGCTACTAAATTTTTGGCAAGAGAGAAACTGCAATTTCCCTGGATTCTTTCCTCTGAACTCATTTGCAATCCAAATACTTCTTTATATTGAATTAATATGAACTGTTCACTGTATAAATAATCTCATAAGAGAAAGAATAAACTGTGAAACCTGGTGGTTGGGCAACTCAGTGCATGCTAGAAAATGTGTGCTGATTGAAGAAAGTCACAAATGTAGATGTGGCTTATTGTCAGTGTGAGCAAAACAGGACAGTGTGACAATTGAATGCTTGAGGCTCAGTTATACATGGATTTTCAAGGAAACATACACCCCAATATACAAAGGTCATTTCAATTCAGTCCTAAAAAAATGGAGCCTAAATTATTAAGTAGATCTGCTTTAGACACCTAGAATTAAGCCAGAAGCCAATTAACTGCTTAGTGCTGTGGGGTATCATGAACTAATTCGCTCAAACTCCAGGGACTAGGTACTTTCTAACACAGTTCTAAAAATAAGAAAGCAGACAGCCTTAGAATATTTTGTTTCATCCCAGGTTATTTATTGAGCCCATGACTGTCCTTGTGTGAAAGTAAGGACAACAAAGTTCAGGCTGTGATAGGGTGGAAAGTCTAAAACAGACAATAAAGCGTGAAAGAAGGACATTTCATTAACATTAGTCAATACTCTTGATTGAAGAAGATGAGGAGAGAGAAGAGGAAGAGGACACACACACACACACAGAGAGAGAGAGAGAGAGAGAGAGAGAGAGAGAGAGAGAGAGAAATCATTTTACCCTTGTTGACTGTTGCCAGCATAAGCTACGTGGGTAACACACAGGCATTTCTATTTCCTGCCATCCACTGGAGGCCTAGTAGTTGCCAAGGGCATCTCATGTTTCCTTCATACGACTAAGGACTGTCGTGTTTGAAGGTCACCTGTTAATTCTGCTATGGTGTTAGTTCTGCTTACTGAAGATTCAGACCTCATTCATCCCTTCATTCTGTCCAGTTCCCCCACTCTGCTCTTTTTCTGGAAGGAACTATATCTGCCCTTTAAACAGATGTCTTCAGGCCTTTACTCAGTGCAGCTCTCAACATCACTGGAATGCTGACGTCTTGAGCAGTGGCAGACAAAAATCTAGCACTTTCTTCTCAAACAAGGAGTCTGTCATCACTCATAGCCTAAGGTTGAAGAAAAACTATTTTCTGTACAATCTAGAAACCATCTTGACCAAGGTGGCCAATGATCCCTTAAAATCAAAACCAGAAGACTCTTCTGGCTTTAGTCTTTTCATCATTTGGCACTGGTAATATATTCTCTCCATCCTGTTTTGGTCTCCATGACCAGGCACCTCCCTAGTTCTCCTTATACCTCATGAAGAGATAAACCCCTAATTCTCTGTTGCAGCTAAAGGAGGCACTCTCAGCAAGTCCCATGCCACCTCAGGCTTTGCCTACTACTTCACATCTTCTTTCACATATACCGTAGTTTCCTACAATAGCGGGACTTTCTCCTCTGTTTGTAGCTAGACTTCCTTCTAGGGTACCAAGCTCGCTGCTCATGTAGCATCCTGTCTATTCAATTCACTGAAGGAACTTCGGCCTTGGCACATGCAAAATGGAAGTGCTACTGTGCTCCTCCTTCCACAACCCCACCATACGAGTAATCTTCCCTGCTACCAACAAGTTATCAAAGGTTATGGCGTCTCTCATGTTCCTCTTCTAATCGGTATGATAGGTTTTACCTCCTTCAAAATCTCTCTCTCTCTCTCTCTCTCTCTCTCTCTCTCTCTCTCTCTCTCTCTCTCTCTCTCTCTCTCACACACACACACACACACACACACACACACACACACGTCTTTGTGAGAAGGCACAATGCTTTCACAATCTTTTGACAATGGCATCTATGTGGCTATACTTTCTCCTGTCTCATCTTTTTCAAATGAAATCTTCACTAGAAGATATTTTACCTTTTCTCAGGTGGCTGCCAAAGATGGCTGAGGAGAAGGTTCCGGAAGGTGGTGCTTGTGCGCTGTGAGGGCATCAATATTTCTGGAAATTTCTACAGACACAAGTTAAAGTACCTGGCATTTCTCTGAAAGCAGATGAACACCAACCCCTCTCCAGGCCCCTACCACTTCCAAGCCCCGAGCCGCATTTTTTGGCACACTGTGCGAGGCATGCTGCCCCACAAGACCAAGCGAGGCCAGACTGCCCTGAAACGCCTCAAGGTGTTGGATGGGATCCCTCCACCCTATGACAAGAAAAAACGGATGGTGGTCCTTGCCGCCCTCAAGGTTGTGCGGCTAAAGCCTACTAGAAAGTTTGCTTACCTGGGACATCTGGCTCATGAGGTTGGGTGGAAGTACCAGGCAGTAACAGCCACTCTGGAAGAGAAACAGAAGGAAAAGGCCAAGATCCACTATTGGAAGAAGAAGCAGCTCTTGAGGCTACGGAAACAGGCAGAAAAGAATGTGGAGAAGAAAATCAGCAAGTTCACAGAGGTCCTTAAGACCAATGGACTCCTGGTGTGAGCCCAATAAAGACTATTTGCTTCAAAAAAAATATTTTGCAACCCACAGCTGAACATACTATTATCCAAGATAGTTCCAACTTGGGCTGTATTGTTGTCCAAACTGAACCATTTGTGGACCTCCGCCATCAGGAATGTTTTCATCAGTAAGTCTGGAGTGAGTCTAAAGATGGCCCTTCTAGAAGTGCAAATGCTAACCACAGACCACCACTCGTGGAGATCCACTATCTACCCTGAAAAATACATTGCAAAATCCACAGTGTGGTGTTCAGGGCACTGTCAATCTAGCTCTCTAGCCATATCTTCTTATCACAGATGCCCAAATCCACCAAAGGGATTCCAAATCCACCAAATGGATGCCAAATCCACCAAATGGATGCCAAATCCACCAAATGGATGCCAAATCCACTAAATGGATGCCAAATACATGGAAGTACTGTTCTGTGCCTTGCATTTTTCCTTTTTGTAAATTCTCTCTCTCTCTTACTTTGCTTACCTATTTACAATCCACTCTCTTTTAGGCTCTGGAATGCATGCCACTCACTGAGATTCTCCCAACACTGCCTGCTCACTTTTCCAGACACCTGTAATGGCAGAGCTAGCCACTCACTTTGTTGGACCACACCTAGCAACTGAACCTACCCTTATCATAGAAAAGATCTCACTTTATCTCACTTACTTCCTGCTCTCTTTTTAAGCTCTAAGGTCTTCCTGGCAGAGACTATCTTAATTGTGTGTGCATGCCTGATGTTTTAGTGGAACAATGTCTTATTGTATGTAGTTAATATTTGATCACTGAATGAAAACAGATGAATAGATGTGTTAAACCATTTTTTAAAGTCTCTTGAACTGGCCCACATACATTTCTATTTAGGCTGATGGAAAGAAAGCTTATACATTTGAAAGAGAAAAAGTAAAACAAAACTCAAGAGCATTATACCTTTTCAGTTAAAGATAAAATATGGAAAGTATTACAGGGATGACTAAACCCACAGTGTCCTTCGTTTTAATGAAGACACACCGAGAGTAATTTGGCTAATGGAATATCAGACCACATAAGTGGCTACCTAGCATTTCTCTAAGAACAAAGAGATTCTAGCAATCCTGTTGTATTCTTGGCGACACTGAAAAAAGCCAGCGTGGATTTATGATGCATTCACTGTGCTTAAGCAGAAAGGATCTAGGCCATCTTTACAAGGAGGAGAAACAATTCACTTTAAATATGGCAAAAGAGTAGGAGGAAGGATTAGCCTTGAATATAAATTATTAATGGACAACCAAAATAAAATCTTTAGGTCCTTCTTAGGTCAGTCAGTGACATAAATCTTTTTAAGTTTTATAGCACATTACCAAAGTGTTTCATATAGTTCATTTATTTATACATTCATTATTTTTTTTAAAAGTAGCATAAAATACAATTGCTCCAAAAGGGATGTTGTGCAAAGTATGGCAATGGATTCAAAGACTGGCCCTTATATCCAACCTATAAATACACCCAATGCAGTATTGTCAGTATTTTGAGAAAGATAAGTCTTGTGTGGGATGGCACACTGCATACCTGAATGACTACAATTTCTGTTATCTATCACTGAGTACTGGTACAATCCCTGGTCATGGTTGTAAGGGTCTCTGCATTGCCTAGCACTTCCTAGGGCCAGAAACATCTACAGTTGAGATTTCTCAGACTTTTAGTACCCTTATGAGGAGACCCTCCTTCACAGCCCTTAGCTTTGTTCTGTTATCCCTTCACATATTGAAAAAAATGGAATGGGATCCTTAAATTTTACTTGTTATGGTTAATATTCACACATGACTCACACAGCTCACTAAAGCTCATCTGTGAATAGCCATGGCACTCTAGTCATCAGTTGCCAAAGAAATAAATATAACTTAAATTAATGTGATCAGTTGGACAATAGATTGTATTATCTGAACTAGAATCTTGTAGGATTACATGTGTGCAAGAGAATGCTTAATTTCTGTCAGTACCTCGTGTGTGCAAATGTATCATGTTCTATGAAAAACTAATTTACAAACACTTATTGTAGACAAACAAGAAATGAAAAATAGACTGAAGCAATGCCTCCTGGTTTTGTTTCTTAATTGTATAACAGAATATTTATCCGTTTATTACATTATCAGTAATTAAAATTTGTTTTTTTAAATACAAAAACAGATTTTAAAATATTGACAAACCACAATGTCTATTTGTTAATTTACAGTGGAGTCTAAACTGTGTGACAGAAATATTTCTATTATCTTCTCAGAGTCATTACAGAAGACACATTCTTCTGTAAATCCCATATCTCCATCTGGACTGTTTCCATCCGTGCCCTGTCTGGTCCATTCCAATGACATCTGAATTTGCTTCTTGGTCTATCTTAAATGTGATTAGCTGTTTATCCAGGGTGATGAGTGATCTTAAAGAACTCAAATGAGGATTTCACTTTCTAGTTTGATCCCTCCTAATGGCTTTTTGTTGCTCCCAGGATAAAAGCTTGTAAAGGCTTTTCTAAAAATAAAAACTGGAAGATTTAATAGTTAGCAAACTGGGGCTCTCAAACAATTCTAAAACAACACCTCTCAACTGAACAGAAATGATAACAAATGAAAAGTGGGCACATGTGTATCGAAAGAATTCAGAAAATGGTTAAGCATGGGGGTAATATAAACCTCATTTGGTTCATTGTCTTTATTTCTTCAAGTGATGATAAATATTTAAAAGAATAATTACAGCATTCCAGTGTGGACTTATAATATATAAAGAAGCAAGCTGTAGGGTTACAGGGTAAATTAAACTATAATTTTACATGTTTTTATGTAGTTTTGAGAATGTCACACATGAGTACTGTATTCATATAATTTCTACCCATTCACCCATTGCTCTTCCCAAACCAATTCTCCTCCTATGTTCTCCCAACTCCTTCACTAATTCATAACCTCTTCTTCTTTATTGGACACACACACACACACACACACACACACACACACACACACACACACCCTGTTGTGTCTATTCAGTATATTCAGTACAGTTTATATTGAATATGTATTTATAAATGACCACTATGATTGAAAAACCTATCAGGAAGCTCCTCGTGGGAGGACAGATTCTCCCTTTCTCAGTAGCCACAGCCTTTAGCTATCTATACCTGCAGCCTGAAGAGCCTGTAGCTCTTTACCTAGGTGTGGGACCGTGTGAGATTTCCCCAACCATGCTGGGATGTCAGATGGGGTCATTGTTCAAGTTTCGTTTACACAGCCATATTGTTGAAGTTTTATGGGTCCGGCTTCTCTGACAGGTCTAGAAGACACCATCTCTCCACAGAAGTCTTGGTCCTCTGGATCTTACAGTCTTTCTACCCATCCCACTTCTGTAGGGCATATGTATAGGGGTTGTAAAGTATCTATTGTTGGAAACCCTACAGTCAGTTGTTCTCTACATTTTGGCCAGTTGTAGATTTCTGAGTTAGTGGACAGCCCTATTGGTAACGCTTTTCTATGAATTTTCTAATTGGCTCATCTACTTTTTCCAATTACATCTTCATTTCATCTTGAGTTCTCTTCAATATCTCTATCTCTTGACTGAATTAAATTTTCAAATCCTGAATTGCCTTTCTGATTTCATTCATCTGAATATTTGTGTTTTCTTGACCATCACTTGGGCATTTATTACAGTCCTCTTCAAGTTCACTGGGGAGTGAGTACTCATCTTTTTTAAAATCCTTCAATTCTTTGATCTGCTTTATGATTGTTTTTTTTTTTTTTTAAATTCTGTGTTCTGTGGCTCATCTGGATGATTCTCATCATAAAACATTTCTATAGGACTAGTGAAGTTTCTCAGGGAGTGGGATGGACATAATGCCCTGGCATTTCATATTGCCTGTGTTTTTGCAGTGTGATCTAGGCACACGAACTTATATATTTGGTTGTATTTGATTCTAGCCTAAGTCAGGCTGGGCCAGTACAGGAGCTTCAGGACTGGGACTCTGACTGGGAGTGTAGAGATGGTACAGGTGGGTGAGGTTATGAGGAAACTCATTGAGTGAGGAAGGAGAAGTTAAAAAAACAAACAAACAAACAAAAAAACAAAAACACAAGCAAACAAAAAAACAGATAGGCCTGGAAGATTGGGGTAAGTGATGTTAGGTGAAACTGGGAAGACCTCAAGAGGAAAGGCTGGTGCAGGAGGTGTGTGTCCTGAGCTAGCCTGGGACTATGGAGACAGAAAGCAGGCTCTGGAGACAAAAGGCAGGCAGGGGAATGGGGAATTTACCAGACAAGACTATGATGTGAGTTACACATCTACCATTAGCCCTGGAAGTGTGGAGATAGCGTGGGTGGACATGGCTCTGGGAACTTACCAGGGAAAACCAATCAGTACAGGAGATGGCAAGTGATGTTTTGAGGAGTAGACCAGGCAAAGTTGATTTGGTAGCTGAGCCCCAGAGCTAAGCCTGAGAGAATGGAGATGGTGTGCGAAGGCTTGGTTCCAGGGGAGCTCACCAGGAAAAGCTGCACCAGAAGCTCCTTGATGGAACTGTGCCTGGGAATGTGGAGGTGGTGTTGGCAGATGAGGTTATGGGAGCTCATCAGGGGAAGCAGTGAATGAGCTGCATGTCCAGACTTAGACCTGGGAGTATAGAGATAGCACATTTATAAGGCTTCCTGTTCCCACATCATGTGTTACAACATTAATTCTGATAATACTATTTCATTTTTACAAAAACAGTAAAATATTTTAAAGGTATAATAAAAAACTTAGGTGGATATTAAGTGGAATGATGAAATAATGTTTATATAATTTTAAAAATGAAATAAAAGGGACTAGAGTGATCACTCAGCTGTAAAGGGCTTGCCTTGCAAGTGTGAGGACCTGAGTTTGAACAATCTGGACATAGTAGTGATGGGGTTGTAAACCAGGCACTGGTCAGGAGAGGCAAAGCGATCCTTAGGGCTAGCTGGCTAGCCCGCCTCACCTGCTGGATAAGGTCCTCAGTAGTGAGTAACCCTGTCTCAAAAGCAAGGTGAA